TAGCGATTAGGTTGACTAATATTTTAGCTAAGATCTGGGAGTTAGACGTTATTTCATCTGACTGGTCACACTTATCGTCCCAATATATAAGAAAGGGTCAAAATCATCCTGTGACAACCACAGAGGGATTAGTTTAACTAATATAATATCTAAAATACTAGCCTCGATAATTATCAGACGCCTAACTAAGACTCGTGAACTGCAAACACGAGAGAACCAAGCTGGCTTTAGACCTGGTCGTGGCTGCATCGGCCACATATTCAACATTCGTCAGATTCTAGAACACAGGCATATTTATCGGCGTCCGACAATGGTGGTCTTTCTCGGTTTAAAAGCAGCATTTGACTCGGCAGACCGCGAGATTCTGTGGCAGTGTCTGTCATTGAAAGGTGTACCACAGAAGTACATAAACCTTGTGAAGACTCTTTACTCGAACACTACTAGTCGAGTCAGAGCTTATGGCGAACTGTCATCTACTTTTGCAACCTCAAGTGGTGTCCGTCAAGGCTGTCCACTTTCCCCACTTTTGTTTAACTTCATCATAGATCTACTGATAGAAACAACTTTCTCGTCGACTGAGTTCTCGGGTATTGATCTCCATCCAGGAGGTCCACTTATCGACTTAGAATACGCAGATGACATAGTCCTGTTTGGTGAAGACGCTGACAAAATGCAGAGTCTTCTGGTAGCACTAAGCAACAATGCCAGAATGTTTGGAATGCGCTTCTCTCCCTCTAAATGCAAGTTGTTGCTTCAGGACTGGTCTACGTCAACACCTGAACTAAGGATAGGGAGTGAAATAGTCGAACGCGTTGACAACTTCACTTATCTTGGAAGTCTGATCAGCCCTAATGGGTTGGTGTCTGACGAAATCTCAGCACGGATTCGAAAAGCTCGTTTGGCTTTTGCCAACTTACGTCACCTACTACAGCGAAGGCGAGATATCCATCTATCAATAAAAGGACGAGTATACTGCGCGGCAGTTCGTTCTGTTTTACTTTACGGCAGCGAAACATGGCCATTAAGAGTAGAAGACACTCGTAAGCTATTAGTATTTGACCACAGATGCCTTAAAAATATTGCTGGCATCTGCTGGGATCACCGGGTAAGTAGTAGTGAGGTTCGACGCAAGGTATTAGGAAATGATGGTAAATCACTTGATGAGGTTATGAATCTTGGTCGACTGAGATGGTTGGGTCACGTGTTACGTATGCCCGAACACCGATTACCACGACGTGCAATGCCAACCGGTGTTGGAGATAGTTGTAAGAAAGTTAGAGGCGGCCAAACCAAAACGTGGCACCAGTGCTTGAAGTCACTAACTTCTAGTCTGAGCCATGTTGGTAGATGCAGACTACTTGGTTGGGGTCCGCGTGACTATCGTAACCAATGGTTGAAGACTCTTGGTGACATGGCTCAGAACCGATCACAATGGCGTCGGTGTATACACTCCCTGTCTTCCCTTAAACTAAGAGAATAAAATCGCTTCATATCTTTCTTTCTACGAACCAATTCTTTCTTCTTGTACTATATCTCTATATGCAATCTTTCTCTTATATATTACCACCTTTGACCTAACCACTGCTATGAATCCGGTGTTCATCTTGTTGTGCTGATGCGGTATGGCAATCTGGACCGATGCACATATGTGCCTGGTCCTACGTTGTAGCTGACTGACTGACTGACCTTTGTTCACGTTCACTACAATATAACTGTGTAAACTGAGAGAAACTTATAGAAACGATTCTTTGAGCCATATGGGCAAATTTCTTTAGCTAGTTAAAAACAAAAAGACTGATAAACAGTCTAAGAAAAAATAATATTTATTTATAATTTACTTCATGCTATGTTAAAACTATCCATTCACATTATCCGTTTTATGATAAGCTAAAAGCTTAGCTGGAAATTGTCTCAGGGTTATTTGATCGGTCATACAAGTTCGTCCGTATCATTAACATGAATCTCGCGAGGCAGGATTGTGGACGCGTACTGCTGAAGAGTCCCATGCCAGGACGAAATGACCGTCCAGTACTTCCAGGTTTTCCATGGTGGTCTAGCTTTAATTGACTAATGAATTCCACTATTAAATTACTATAATATCCACAAAATCCCTCACTGATCAATAAAAACCTTCGTTGACTTGGGAAAAAAAATCCAAAACACAAAAGAGGCTTTCTGAATCTGATCATCGAAGTACTCTACTACATGTGTTGAAGACAAAAACACAGAAGGAAAATACTGTAAAGCTGGTCTGTAAGTGAGAACTTGAGTGACTATTTAAATTAATTCGACAAGTTCTTGACTATATTGTAGCAGTCAGAAAACAGTAGTTATAAATGGATGATCTATGGTGTTGGGGCTATCATAAATCCTACTCTTAATGTTCAATCGATAATTTACTGAATTCATGAGTCAATTGAAGCTAGACCATCACGGAAAACCTGGAAGCACTGAACGGCCGTCTCGTCCTAGTATGGGACTCCTGGCGAATTCGATCCCGTGTCACCCAGCTTCACAGTCAAAGACGTTACCACTGAGCTATCCGAGCCGCGACTGACCTCCTGTAGGACTGAGATATAATCACAATTGATTGATCACTGGGTGGTGATCAATGTCATGCGTGTCAAGCTAGGTGGCACGGGATCGAATCCGCCAGGGAGCACTAGTTCCCTCAAGATTACAGGCACACCTTGCTGACGAGTGCCAAGTAGCATGAAAGTCGGGTCCAGGGTTTCCTGTCGACTACCTCCAACCACCATCTAATCTCACTGGTTCGGCGTACATTTTCCTGACCACTTAAATCTGGGAATGGTATTTTTGAGATAATATACAGATGAGATTGCTTGTATTTTCAATATTGAGAAATATACTCAATTGGTAAAGAAAATTGATAAGTTACTTAAAAATAGGAAAAAAAATTTAATTTGAAACATGGTCTCCCTAAAATTTTAAAGTGAATTTTCATATTTTCCTTATCTTATTTCATTTGAACTCGCTTCTGATTGGCGGCCTATGCTCCATGGGGGCGGGTAACAGGCGTAAGTTTCAAATAATATAGATGTCGATCATTTTGCTGGATCAATAGTTCAATAGATAACTCTCGAGAGTTATAAAGCAACGGTTACTGAATTTCAGCCGCTCAATGAAAACATCCATACGTATGGTAATTACATCCGGCTAAAAAATTTCAAATAGGATGAGACTACTCGTCTTGGATTCCACTTATAGTCAATGTCTAAAATGTTATACCTTGAGACGCCAATGTGTATCACGTGTTAAAGTCACTAGTCACGACTCTGACTATCGTCTGGTTCATCTATATTGCCAGCAAGACTGCTGACCTTCTAAGTACGAAAAGATACACCAACCAACAAACAACAATTAAGGCCTTAAGGCTTAAAGGTCCTAAAGCACCTTGCAACCCAGTAGCCAAATTGAAGACGAAAACAGAACACAACCTAGTTCTCTATTGTACTCAATTCAATTATGGCTCAAAATCCATACAAAAATATGCCTGAAATGAGATCATCAGCCGATCAATATTAGACTAGCACTGAAAATCTGGAAGTACTGGACAGCAGCGTTTGGTCCTGGGTTTAAGTCCCGCGTGTGTATTGTGGATGCGCATTGCTGAGGAGTCTCATACTAGGACGAAACAGCCGTCCAGTACTCTCAGGTTTTCAATGTTAGTGCAATATTGATCGGTCCATTATATCAATTAAAACTCAACATTTTCCACAACCCTATACTGACACTTGAAACACTTGAGTTCACACCCCATCAAATAAGAAATCTTACATTATACTCAGTCATCCCATAAATGATAGAAGGATGAGCAACCAGTACATAATTAGTTAGCAATAACTAAAAGACAGTAAAACGGATAAAAGTGGTTAATAAGTTCACAAGAAGTTTACATAAAGAGAATATCGCAGCATAATCCGAAAAACAGAGCCAAAAGTTCATTCAAAAAGCGTATATCATAATAGAGACTTTTCATTGACCACAAATCGTTTTATACACCATAATTTGATCATTTCTTACAGATTATTAATAAGATGTAAAGATAAAATGGATGAAATGAATTCAGTTGTCACTATGGGGATGGATCCGTTGGTGATCATCAATATCACGGTTTGTCAAAATATGTTGCTAATCAAGTGAACTTAAAAATTCGTCCCATCAAATGATGGTACAATAGTTTGTCATGTAGTTTACCATGTTATTCACGTTGTTTATGGGAAGAGTTCGTAGATTTTTAGCCCTAGTGAAGAGTCCTAGTGCTAGACTAAATAGTTATTCAGTAGTTTCTAGTTTCAAAATAATACATAGACCAGTGTTAATCCATGAAAAATATAAATTACTTTGATGGTGTTGTATCCTGTAAACTAGATGACTTAATTGTAGAGCTTTCGTAGTTAGTCTGTTCAATATTATCAGCCTCTACTTCAAACTATAATCCAAAACGATTATGAAAGCTTCATAACTAAACTATGAAGCTTAAAGGATACACAATATTACCAAAAGCATCCACTTGAACCACCAATCTTCTCTGTTATTTCAAAATGTTAATAATTTTTCACCTGGTATCGTTTTACTTGTATCTTCCCATGGTTATTTAGGACTGTAATTGATCAGTATCATGTTGGTATATGTACATCCTGTGCGGATTGCCTCGTTATAACCTTAAATCACAAGCTTTTTAAGCAAAGATGGATAGTGGCAAGCAGTGAAATCCAGGACGTGCGTTACGTTTTATTCGAGACTCGTCAGCTGGATGTACCTGCATCTCAGAGTAGATGTTCACTCCGGGACTCGAACCCATTACTGTTCGCTTCAAACAACCTCTCTTTATCCACTTACCTACTGAGTTCTGATAGCTAACTGCTTGTGCAATGGGGTGGTATTTAAATTCACCCTTACATTATATAATGACCAATCTTTAACACTACCCACTGCATCATTCATATATGATCTCTATTTGTTTCTCAATTTCTAGAATGCTTAATGGACCAACTGTCCTATTAAAAAATAGTACAACATCATTATGTAATCCAGTAATCAATAATTTATCATCAAGATCATCATCATCATTAACATCAACAAATAATAATAATACTAATCATAATGATAATGATCAAATTAAACCTGATCTATCTCAATCATCATCATGTTTATCAACTACATTATTTACTAATTATTCAATGCATCCAATTCATAATCATTCTATATACACTACAAATCTATCATCATCCATTAACTATGATAATACTACTACTACTACATTGAATCATCATAATCAAGCATATCAACTATCAGATTCATTAAAAAGAACCCATTTCAATTGTCCTAATGATACCTTATTCATTAATCAAATTATAAAGGATAACATTAAATCATCGGAACAATTAACATCAACTATAATGATAAAAAATGATGACATAATACAGATTAGACGAAGATTACCACCATTAGGTAAAAGTGATAGTAGTGAAACAGGTCTACAAATCAATAATAATAATAATAATGAAACTAATAGTAGTATTGTTACTACGGCAACTAAAATTGTCATTGAACCTGATCCTAATGAAAAGAATAGTAATAATAATGACAATATTGGTCAACATAAAACTATTGAAGAAGGTGATATAAGTAATGAAGAAATTACTAGTGGAAAAATGTTACTAAGTCAATCAGATTCAGTGAACATTGAACATAAGTAAGTTTATCATTATGTTTAAATAATATAGAGACTGTTGAACATTTTTCCTAGGATAGGACTATTTAGTTGTGTGTATCTATGGTGCCGTCACTGGGGATCGAACTCGTGACTTTAGGTTCTGAGCTGGAACTGGGATCCAATGGTGCACAAATATAACATGAATTGCTGAGGAGTACTTTTTTATAGTTTTGTCACATTTATAAACTTTGGACCTTTTTATAACTAAGTACTAACTACACTTCACCTTCTACTGAATTTCACGTAAATATCCAATAGTCAATATCATAAATTTGATTGGATCGTCGCTACAGTATAGTTCCACCAAATTAAAATGGATAGGTGATTCATGTCAACATGTTATGGAATATATTTAATTAAATCTCAGGGTTGTTGAAGGTACTCGGTAGGAAACTCGACACCACATCTATGTCATATCAGTTCGGAATCATCAATAAAGTGCACATGTAATCTGTAGAATTCAAAGTCTGGTTACTCAGTTTCACAGTGTGAATCGTTACTCCTGGGTTATGAATACAGTGACTAATTTACTATAGAACTGAATCTTTTATATCTGTTAAGTACGGACTATTAACCAGTGTCATTTTTGTCTAGTTTGTTGGTATTTATAGAATCCTATGAATCAAGTTACAATTAAGTGTTCATTGTAGTCGATCAGTAACCATAGCAACTAATTTCATGGCTAAATAGAACATGGGTGATAATCCATTTGAAAGTTATATATTATAGATTTGTTGTACATTTCGTTAATTTCATTTTTTACATCTCCATGCATATATAAAAGCTGATAGGTTCAATTCATTAGAAATATTACTATACTCGGAAAGTTTTTGATTGAGATTATGAAACGATGAGTGTTAGACCACCATTGAAAACCTGGAAGCACTGGACGGCCGTTTCGTCCTAGTGTTGGACCCTTCAGCAGTACACATTCTTGATCCCACACGCTACATCCGGACCCAGGACCACTGAACTGGCACCCAACGTTGTTAATGTCTAACCTCAGCTGATCCACAAAACTGTGCGACGATCGTCCATTGTCTGAGATAGATACCCGTCCCTACCTGACATGGATCAGCTCCACTCGGAAATTTGTTGACTTATTAGAGGACATATCTTTAACGAAAATGTCAAATCATCATAAGCAAAGATGGATAGTGGCTAATAGCGAAATCCGAAACAGGCATTTTGTCCTATTTAGGATGAACCTGTATCCCAGAGTTTATGTCCGTTCCGAGACTCGAACCCAGTACCGTTCAATGGGGAGATTCAAACAAACATTACAAAATAAATATCAGACCATTTTAATTTTTACTCATTTTCCCCATTTGTTCTTTTTTTTCTTTTAGTGAATTAACAAAATCAACTATTCCAATCTCATCATATTCTAGTCTACGTGATATTGATAATGATCAAAATATGTGCCGTTATTGTCATAATCGATTACCAAGTTGTACACATCAATTAAATTTACTCCAACCTACCATTACCACTACTAATTTTAATAATAATAATAATAATAGTTTATCGACCGGTATGATGGGTACTCGACAAAAATCCACATCAACTATACCATCATCTTCAACATATGAGATTAGACCAAATACAACAGGGAAATTATCAGAGTATAAGCATGAATCTTATGATCCTTTATCTAATCATGATAATCATTCTTATTATTACAATAATATTAATCATCATAATGATATAGATAATAGTAAATTATTATTTCCAGCAAATTTCTGTCATGATAATTTACATATTATAACACCAAGTCAATGTTCAATTAATTATGTAACAAATGTTCAATGTTCATCACCATCATCATCAAATCTTGCATATCATGAGCTCAATCAATCAAATCTTCCATATACTACTTCAATCACCACCACAACCACCACCACCACAACAACAACTAATACTACTACTAATAATAATATAAGTAGTATAAATGAAAATAATCATGTACAAAGCTTGAATTATCTCTATAGTGAAACATTTAATACTTCAAATCATTTGAATACACATTGTGATAGAAGAAATTACACAAGGGAAACACTTTTGATACATACTGACAATAGTATTGATAATAATAATAATAATAATAGTAATAATCATACAAAATCTTGTATAAAAACGGATCGATCTCCTTCCGAGTCCATAAGTGGACCATTTCAACGCATATCATTATATTTTACAAATGATACACAAAAATAATAATAATAACACTAATAGTAATAATGATAATAATAATAATAAAGAGAAACCTCAACATTATAAATCAATTATTCGTAATAGTATTCCAAGTTATTCTATTCTACGTGGTACATTAAGAAGTTATATCTCTGAAGCAACATATAAAACTAGTAGTAATCGTAATATTAAAACAATAAATCATCAACATACAATTACTGTACCAATAGATTCAACGAATTCATGTCAAGATTCCTTGATACCAATCAATAATAACAATAATAACAACAACAACAATAACAACAACAACAACAACGGTAGTAATAATAAAAGTACCAAACATACAAATGAACATTTTGATACAATCATTGAAGATAAACATAATGAAGAAATGATTATTAACAATGAAGTATCCACAACAAGACGTAGTTTAAATTCAACAACTAATACAAATCAAATTATACAAGATCCAAGATCAAGAACATGTTGTTTTTGTTGGTGTTGTTGTTGTTCATGTTCATGGTAAGTAAATCAATGTTCAATAATCAATAATATTGATCTGATTGAGATTTGTTTTTTTATTATTATTCAAGTTAATAATGTATTTCACTGATTGAAATCATGAGTCAATTGAAGCTAGACCACCATGGAAAACCTGGAAGAAATGGACGGCCGTTTCGTCCTAGTGGAGGACTCTTCAGCAGTGCGCATTCACGATTCCGCACCCTGGGGGATTCGAACCTAGGACCTATCAGTCTCGCACCAGGCGCTTAACTAACTAGACCGCTGGGCCGGTATACAATGGTGTTAATGTCTAACTTCAACCAATCCACAATAGGACGAAACGGCTGTTCAGTGCTTCCAGGTTTTCTATGGTGGTCCAGCTTCAATTGACTCATGATTTTAATCAGTGAACTTTCTAAAAATCTCCACAAAACCCATTCTGATAATAATGTATTCATTTGTGTTGTATAACATATTTGTCATAACTTATGGCTTTGTGGCCCCTATCAATATATATGTAATGCAATGATACCGCTACTTTGAGAAAAATGACTTTTCGACTGAACTAGTGACTCATAAATCTGTACAAGCAGTTTAGAGTCTTTAACGGTTCTGCTTCCTGTGTAGACTTGCTTGCCTGTTAATTCTAGAATACCCATGTCACCCTTTGTTATATGAATCATTATATTGCAAACATACATACAAACCAAACAGACCATATCATACTATGAAAGAGAAAATAACATTTGTACAAGATCTAGCCAAAAGTGGCTGTGATTGTGGGAAACTGTAATTAATAAACTGGATATAACTTAGGAACAGTAAATTGTATAATAATAGTTTATAGATCAAAGTAAAGCTTACAATAGGAGGAATATGAATATATATATAGGTTAGTTACTTAACAAATATTCAATAAGAACATATGTATAGTATTAGTCCATAAATAGATCATAACAGTTAGCATTCATTAGTTTCATCGGGATATAACACTATTGAATGAAATGATTGGGTTGATCATATTTTGTAAATAAAACCAACTTAAAAAATAATGAAAGTGGAAGTAAGATTTGAATGTAGTTTAACTGTTAAATCCACTAGTTGATCTTAGTTAAGCCACCATTGAGAACGTGAAGGCATTAGACGACCATTTCGTCTTGGTATCAGACTCTTCAGTAGTGCTTAGCCACAATCACGGCACGCGGCACGTCCAGTCCTCTAAGGTTTTTAAGGGTGATCTAGCTTAGACTGACTCATGAACTCAACTGTTAAAATATTACAATCTTCATAAATCCCCATACTGACTTGAATATATGTTATAGTTTATAGTATGAGATATCAAATTAGAGTACACTGATGATTCTTTCATGGACTGGAACATGGACATTTAAATAGTTTAGAGAGAAACACCAAGATAAAATTACATCTGTTAGTTGTAATCTAATGGTTTAGATGTGTGACTACAAATAGTTTACAAAATATGTATACAGTCTTCAATGTTAAGCAGTTGGAGAGAGTCGACTGGAAATCCTGCTTGACATGCGTTTCGTGCTATTTGGAACTCATCAGTAAGCTATACCTGCAATTTTCATGGTTTAGTTGCTCCACGGTTGATTTAAACCTTGATCATTGAGCTTTATAATCTGAGGCATTATGTTGTGAACAGGGAAATAAGAAGCCCAGACAAAAGCTATTTCTTGGGACGTTATTTCATTTTATTCAAACCTTGTAAAACACATATCTATTTTTGTCCCTGTTTTATTCTACAGAACATGAGCTTTCGTTCGATGTATCATTCATTGCCATACCCCTTTTTGTTCCGAAACTATTGTAATTTAAACATCATATTTTGCACCTTATTTTCTACCCTAATTCCCAGTTTTGGACATAATTGTATTTTCCCAAATTGTCGTACGTTGTGGTCAGGATATTCACTTATTTATTCATGTACCTTTTTGCACTAATCCGAATTCAGAGATTTCAGAGTGTTCCAACTGTCTTGTCTTCTCTCACTTACGTGCTTGCCAGTCAGTCAGGTTCTAGAATAGTTTTCTCTCTACCCCAACATGCACTTCTCCAGTTTTCTTCTGTCTTCTGATTTGAGACTGTGCGGGGGGGGGGTTCTAAACATTCGAGTACCGTAGTCGTATTATCGTAATCTGCGTTAATCAAATAGAGAACTTAACAGTCCGAGTAATTGTCAAGACTTTTTTTTCAATATCAATCGTTAAAATCATTACAAATTTGTACAAAATAAGTTGGCATAAGAATTAAAGATAAGTTTTAGCGAAAATTGTTTTAAAATATTTTTAGCATAACAGTTATTTACAGTTAGGGAATGAAATAAGAATGCAAAGTTTTACAGAAAGATTATCGATTATTGGATACATGCCATCGTGGATACGCACTGCTGAGGAGCCCTATGATAGGACGAAACGACCGTCTAGTGTTTCCAGGTTTTCAATAGTAATCTAACATCAAGCAATTCATGATCTTAATCAAAAACTTAATAATCTTCAAAACCCCATATTGATAAATGTTATCATTGTATGATCATTAATAGTCCAGACCGTTAATGGTACCTTGACGTGATGATCCAGTTTGTATATTATCATGATCTATGCTGTCAAGATCATTGTTTTTTAAGTTCTACCATGGGAAATAGATTATTTAGCGAGCAGTATGAATAGAAAATCCAAGGGCGTAGTCATATTAGTAACTGTGCTGAGAAATGTGACAGCAGTAAGGGATTTCACTCAGATAACTAGCATTTGCAGTGATGCCAACTTTTCACTCCTGAAAGGATCCAATGAAATTTACAGAGTCTTCATATTGTTTCTGATTGAAGTTATGTAGTTAGGGTAAGGACAAAGAGTCTAAGATTAGATATTTTATCACAAAATGACGTTAGACAAGTGGAGAAATGCTCTGTAGCTAAACAGATGAGTGAATTTAACACAAAAAATAGGAATCGCTATCTGATTAGTTCACATATTAAATATAGTTCCATAGAAACTAAATGTTTATTTACTTGTTGTATACAGTCTAAAGATATAGAATTACGCATTTGATACGTTTATTACAATCATTTCTACTTTATGAGGGCAAAAACTAACTTTTCGGCACCATTTTAAAACTTCTGAGGAGTATACGAACATATTTCACTTGTTCGTTACACATAATAGCAGAATTTAGAGCAAAAGCCTGAAAGTCTAATCCTTGATTCTAATTGACTAGTCCTTAAACTATACTTTTACCAAATTTTATTACTTCAATCAAGTATATGATACTGAATAAACCGAATACTTTAGTTATTAATATTACTAGTGACTGACGAATGAATGTCGGACTAATAGAGAAACGACTTTTTGATTTCATTTTAAAACCGTCTAAAATTAAACATTAAAACGCGTTTTTATAGAGTAGATTGAATGTGGCTAGTAGTGGAATCCGAGACGCGCATTTTGGAGCTCATCATCTGGATGTACCTGCATTTTAGAGTTGATGTTCACTCAGATATTTGGACCGATTAGCTATGACGATAACCCATCAAGCGTTTAAAGCCAAGTGTTGGATTGGTTTAAAGTCTTCTTGGCCTGACGGCTCAGGATACTCTCTCTGGTGAGGTTTATAAATGAGCACTTCAGGTGAGCTTCATACTAGAACGAAACAACTGTCCAACGCTTTATAGTTTTAACTAGCTGTTTGATCAAAATTAGTCTGTGATAAAGAACTGCAAAATAATGTGTTTTTAATTAGTGAACTATGTTATTAGAACAGGGAAGAGATTTATGTAAATTACTTAATTTGAAATTTTCCATGAATTTTCATTGAGTCGAGGACCCTCAAAAATTAAAGAACACTTTCCAGAAACTTCACTGTTGTTTAAGACGTGCAGACAGTCCAAAGCATGAAACTACTAAAGATCAAACTCAAGACTCTCGATACTCTTGGGATATAATAAACCGTCAGATTAATGTGTTAAGATCAATCAGTTTGTGGCAGTGTTAAGTGATGATTGTCACTCCCGTCAACATGGATCACTTTCATCTGTCATGAGTTTTCACTTTAGTCCCAAATGATGTTCATTCAGAATGTAGTCCATCGGCCGAGTAAAGATATCTTCATAAAATCTTACTGTTATGATACCATACTGTTGTTTAAATATTAAAATACGTAAAAATGTTATCCACTTGAATAAACGCTGAAACACAATATCATTTCTTTTTATTCGGGGAGCAGTTCATACAACTCAAAGAAGTCTAGTAATATGTAATTAGGTAAAGTAATGATAATACAACTAGTGTTGGTTTCTCAAAAACATTGGTTTCCATGACTTCATCACGTGACTTCCACATCTAGAATTATTTCTTAACGCTGAAACTCATTGCAGGAAGCCGAAATATCATCAGTTTATAATATGGTGCTTTGACTTTGAGAAGTAGTTGTTTACAACTGACATCTCTCAGTTCTTCACGATTGCTTGGTTCACGCATTAGAGATTATCCAATTCATTACGTTAACATGTTAACAGATATAACTCAAAATAGTAGCCACTAGTAATCATGCTTCCCTTTATTTACATGGTTCATTTATTTGATGCCTAATGGTACCATAGTTGATATGCATTACATAACTACATAAATAAAGTCTATTCTTAGTTAAGTAGAATAATTTGTATAATTTTTCTTTCTCTTGTTTCATATCTGGTATTCTGATGAATATAGTATGCGTGTACGTGCAAATCTTGGTGAATCCAAAAGACCATCTGCATCCAATGATCCACAATCAACAGTAGATTGTCAAATTTCCGATGAAAAGTAAGTTATCACCAATAATTTCATTGTTTACTTCATTGAAATTCTATTCGAATTTATCTGATCTATTCAACTAACTGATGTAAAGAAGAAGAAGAAGAAGAAGAAAAAGAAGAAGAAGAAGAAGAAGAAGACTTATTCATATTACAAGGTTGCTAAAACGGTTGAATTTACGATTTAACTAAACAAACGTTTTGAAAAGTAGAAAGGACTTATGAAATGTTTTGTTCTATTATAGGACTCCTTAGTAATGTTTATTCATGACTACAAGCGATATTGAAGTTGGGTCATTCAAGCCTCTCAGACAATACATTACCTTTAGACTAATGAGTTTTTTACTGAATGGTTTACCAATAATCATTAAGTGATTACTAGTGAATGACTTTCAAAGTTAATCCTCAGAGCTTTAATGAGAAACAATGACTAATAGAGTCAGAAGACAGATATTAGCAATGGTAGTAAGCAACGCTTGAACAATATTGCAAACTGACTGAAACTAGAAGTGCAAAACATCAGATGTCACCTCGGTGATTTGAATGTTAAGTATTCACCGTTAGGTTTGACATTCTTACAGCTCAACGACTAGTGGGGTGGTGAGTTACGCTTCTGACAAGTTATATACAATAGCAAAACAGTTGTCTAAGTCTTGTTGTAAATTTCAATAGAGTAAATTCTACTGACCAATTGTTCTATCTCTTGTTAAATGTCAATTTAATAGGATTTAATGTATTTTCAATTTTTATGAAGTTTTGTTCTCTGAGCTTCTGTTAGTGTGTGCTGATGATGTCGTTCAGGAGAATGATGAAAGCTCCACGACCAAACTATCCAGCTCAGAGAATAAAGCTTCATCAAAATCATTCGCATGAGCTAAAAATCTTCTCCACCATCTCAATATTTTCAGTTTTTTCAATAATTGAGATCATGATTCAATTGAAGCTAGACTACCATGGAAAACCTGGAAGTACTAGACAGTCCTTTCGTTCTATTGTAAGACTTCTCAGTAGTTCACATCCACGAGGAGTCTCACAATAGGAGGAAACAGCCGTTCAATGCTTCCAGGTTTTCCATGGTAGTCTAGCTTCAATTGAATCATGATCTCAACTATTGAAATTACTACAATCTTCAGAAAACCGCTTCTGATATTTTCAGTTTTGTTTATTGTTCAAAATTCTTACTTGATTATTTCATTTCAATATTGATGATCGATTTCATTAGGAGATAACATACCTAATAACTCATTTTAGTAACAGTCTATATTGGCAAAATCTCGGCGAAACTATAATTTATGGACGAACCAATCAAGTATAAGATAACTGATTTCGGAATTTGGCGCGAAATTCATTCATCCATTTGACTAAATAGAGTTTTGGCATTATAGCTAATGACAGTTAGTGATGAAAACCCTAAATGTAATTCCTAACCTTAACCATCAACTGTAAATCATAATTCTAACAGGTTTATAATCCTCATTTAGTCCTAATCAATCGGTGTCTATTCTTATAATGCATTGATAGTTTTAAGTTTCATTGAAACAGTCGTAGATATACTACAGTCGTCCAACTAATCTCAATAGATCCTATGACTATTTATATAAGGATAAGAAGTTTCTAATGATTCTCTGATTTAAAGATTGTTTAAATCTTGTAATGATTTAAGCTGAGTAACCATCGGAAAGTAAATAATACATAAGACTATTTTGTTCAAATATTGGATTCCTCAGCAATAAACACGTAATATCTCCAAGTGTGTTACCATCAGACTATTGATTGGATATATAGTGATTCATATTTACAACTACTTCACGACCATCATCCATTGTTGTCTGTGACAAAAGTCTCATTTCTGATATGTGCAAAAAGACTTCACTTGTCATAGCTTCTCACTAAAATTTTGGGTATCCTTCTCAAGCTTCGTTAGAAATGAGTAGATGTTTATTATTAGGATAGTGTTATGGTACACGGCGTCCAGTTTAGATAAATATACTTCCTATAGACTTTCCAAATCAGCTATGCTAGTGTGGTGACTGGGATCATGGATGTGCACTGTTGAGGAATCCCAAAACTAAGACGAAACGGCCGTTTAGTGCTTCCAGGTTTTCCATGGCGCTCTAGCTTCAATCGACTCGTGAATTCAACTATTAAAAATTAATAAGAATAACTTTTGAGTATTTGAGAGAAATTTTAAAATGATTGACTTTTCTATCTTATCATATAAAATATGCGTTAGAGATAGCTTTGGTATAGAACTGCAGGAAATACCTCTTGAAACTAATCACTAGTGAGCACTTGTTTTATTTATAAGTAACATTGAAAAGAAATCATTTTATTAATGATTCACTGAATTATAGATGAACTGGTGATGTAAGTATGTTGAAAAAGATTATGACATCATCTCTGTAATCATGATGATGATGAATTTCGTACGAAATTCAGAGGGCAGTCCCCTTGGATTTGATTAGCTCAGAGATACACTGTAGTTTCTATGTCTTTTGACTTGTTAATTATATCACGTGATATTATCACTGATCAGAACACGACTTATACAATATTAGCACTGTGCCAAACCAATGACATGTTAACCGATACTACCAGACTAGAGTCCTTATTGGTTCTTCTTGTCTAATTCAGCCTGCTGAGTTCAGAACACCAATATCAGCCTCTAATATATGAATCATGTATTTCAAACATACGCAGTTTATATACAAAGAAACCAGACTACATCATACCATGAAATAGAAAATAACATTTTTACAAGATCTAGCCAAAAGTGGCTGTGAATGTGCAAGACTGTAATTAGTAGAATGGGCATAACGTAAGAACGGTAAGTTGTATAATAATAGTCTATGAGTCAAAATAAAGCTTATAATAAGAGGAATAGTTGAGATCATGATTTAATTAAAGCTAGACCACCATGTAAAACCTGAATACACTAGACGGCCATTTCATCCTTTTGTAGGACTCCTCAGCAGTGCATATCCGTGATCCTGCCTCGCAAGATACGAACCCAGAACCTATTAGTCTCGCACGTGAACGCTTAATCTGTAGTTTCAATTGAATCATGATCTCAACTATTAAAATTACTGTAATATCCACAGAAACCCCTTCTGATAACTTAGTTACTTCATATTTATCCAATTGGAATATATGTAATAACAGTCCACAAATAATTCCTAGTAGTTACCATTCGTAGATGATTAAATTAGAAGATACTAATAAATCCATTTTCGGAGATCACATGGTATAAGGAAAGAAAAAAGGGAAAAATAATGAATTGAAGATAAAAATGACAACTCTGTGTGTGTGTGTGTGTGTATTCATATTCCTTTCTTTTTATCAATATTTTTCGAAAATTTTAAAATGAACAGCCAAAAAAGGAGGTAACCTACATATGAATAATTTCTGTTTTTGCTATTCTTCCCCCTTTTATTGTATTCAACAGTTTTAAATTATGTTGCTATGTCATTAATATAAACAGTAAAGCATGTCACCGTTTATTGTCTACTTAAATATACAATACTAAGATGCAATTTCATAGTAAGTTTTGGTACTGTAAGCAGATGATTGTAGACGGAACCAAATCAGTTTGTACACAGTTACTCATCAGCTTGAATCTGTTCGATCTTGATGACCTGTGTTATGTATGCGTGTGTGTGTGCGCGTGTGATTGAAGCTTTGAACTGTTGATAGATAGCTATATCAGTTGAAAATGAAATTAAAGAATGTAACCCTCAAATGCCCTAGGAAGAATTAGCTCTCCCTCTCGAAATGCTCTCACATGGCAACGTGTATACAACCACCCTCATACCTCTAACAGCATTCAAGACCACTGTATTCGTAATAATAATAATAATAATAATAATAATAATAATAATAATAATAATAATAATAATAAAGTCTTGAAGACGTTAGTGATTAGCTTCAAGGTGGATTTACTGTGGAAGTTATCTTAGTGACAATCTGAATTGTGAATGGATATTATTATTCATAAGTAAACAAGTAACCAATCAGTTTTTAGTTTGAACTGTCACCACTAATCTGACTCAGTTTCACCCATCTGATCCTATTTGTCTTTATTGGACAACTACTATTAATCGATAGACATTTTAGTATCTTTACAAGTGTAATTTCTTATACAATTTTTTATTCGATTTGTTATATCTCCGACTATTGTTTGATAGTAGTACAGACCAAAATTGTACTTTATATAGACTCTGGTACTACATTACTATAGTGAACGAACAAAAATAAAATCAGTTGTATAATGTAAAGTTAAACGTATCGCAAACTGATCGAATTTGAAAAAAATATGAATAAACCGGGCATGCTTAGTAGCTAAACAGTATGTTACTAGCATGGATATCTAGAAGTTATCGACTGGATGCTAATGTACAGTATGAGTTCAATCTATTTCAGTACTCACTAACTTCCAACAGTTCAGTAATTCATATTAGTTTATGGTGAAAAGAATTGTGTAAAAATTACTCGTATATTAACGAAGATGACTGAAGGATAACGTATTAAACATATGATTGATATGTTTTTCACCAAATGCCAATGTACTGCCGAGAGTGGGGAGAGTCAGCTCTCCCTCTATAAATGCTCTCACATGGCAACGTGTATACAACCACTACCACAAAGTCCTACTCACTAAACCCTCGCACCACGCGTGTTGTTTACGAAATTCAGAGGACGAAGAGTGAATGTCCGGCGCTATAACCGGGTTGGTGGATATGGAGAGTCCATCTAGAAGAGTTGGAAAACCCTCATTCCATACCAATGGTGTACATGGTCTCCAGTATCCTGAAGGAATAAATGGTGTATGAATCAATCGTTGGTCACCGGCTACCATGTGACTTCATCTCCTTACGTTGCTCCACTGCTTTGTGGATCAGACCATAAGTTCGAAGGCTCCGAGTGTGGCTCCCTAAGAATACCACCTGCTTCAGTTTGGGTATCCGGGCAGTATCACAGCTCTCACACACAAATCAAGTGACTTGTGTGGCTCTTATCTATTCAGTACCCCTTTGTACCAATATTTATATGTTCAAATAAATAATAAGGAAATTTTCACAAAATACTAGTACAAATATCATGGATTTCTGGTCGGACTTATTTTGGCTTCGCTCCCAGAATCCCAGTAGATGGTTTCGTTTTATTGAACATAGCCAGTAATAAGCTTACATTATTTATGTTTGTACATTATATACTAGGCTGTGTTTGGTCGTGAAAAACTGTGATCTCAAGTTGAACTTCTAATGTGGTCGATGAGAACATACTACTAAATAGTAATGGAATTAGCAAAGCAACAATATCGTGTCTCTTATAAATGATTTTCCAACTGATATCAAATCGTAATGAAAATGAAACTTCTCACCTTAATCACAACTATTCTGAATTTAGAATACCTACTGGAAATGTTAAATCACCCTAGCAACTATGCGATTCTGAGCACGACTAACATGAAAGAAAAAGTATCCATATAACACTCATTTGAATGGTACACCCTGGATTATACTACTAGTTACTATGATGATTTACCAAAAAACTTGTGACTAAAAGACAGTATCAAGCCAATCAGCTCAGTATGCTCAAAGTTCAACAGAGAATTACTAATCATAGTTCTGAATTTCAACAACTCAAAATCATAGACTCTTTATAATACCTCTACACTTATTGACTAGGTTGATAGTCATTCAGACTTGATATCTTAGTGGGTAATGAGTTGAGGTACGATACATTTCATATTCACTTATTATTATCAACTTGATAGTTAGTGTTGGTCATTATTTTTAGTTGTGCTGTGACATTTGAAGTTGATTTAAATAGTAAAACTATTGTCGTTTATGGTGCACCGTCGGTAGAATATAGAGACTATTTAGTAGTCTTGACTCCTATATACTTATTTGTGCGGCAAAACAAACAGACAATGTGACAAGAACTTATGTCTATCGTATATATTTTATTCAGGATCTTGATACAACAGTTGTATCCAGTAGTTTCCATTACTAAAATCTATACAATATTTATGATATTCAAATACCCTCCCTCCCCCTCTGATATACAGTACACCTATCTCATCTCCGTTTTCATTGTTCAAGATATTCCAGTAAATATTTAAAAACAGTTTTTTTCAACTGCCAAGTTACTGTTTCAAGTTTTATCGTCATAATATTAGTTCAATGTTGTTCTCGTATGATCATTTTGAATTTCATGCACAAAATAAATCATTCGATTTGTGTGAGGGCTGAAAGACTACCCAAGTGCCTAAAACGAAGCAGGTAATGTTCTTAGGCAGCCACACTCAGAGCCTTCGACCCAAAGGTGTGATCCACAAAGCAGTGGAGCAACGTCAGGAGATGAAGTCACATGGTAGCCGGTGACTAACGATTGATTCATACACCATTTGTTCCTTCAGGATACTGGAGACCATGTACACCATTGGTATGGAATCAGGGTTTTCCAACTCTTCTAGGTGGACTCTCCATATCCACCAACCCGGTCGTAGTGCCGGACATTCACTCTTCGTCCTCTGAATTTCGTAAACAACACGCGTGGTGCGAGGGTGTAGTGAGTAGGACTTTGATGGTAGTGGTTGTATACACGTTGCCATGTGAGAGCATTTCGAGAGGGAGAGCTGACTCTCCCAACTCTCGGCAGTACATGGGCATTTGGTGAAAAACGTATCAATCATATGTTTAATACGTTGTCCTTAAGTCATCTTCGTTAATATACGAGTAATTTTTACACAATTCTTTTCACCATAAACTAATATGAATTACTGAACTGTTGGAAGTTAGTGAGTACTGAAATAGATTACATACATTAGCATCCAGTCGATAACTTCTAGATATCCATGCTAGTAACATACTGTTTAGCTACTAAGCATGCCCGGTTTATTCATATTTTTTCAAATTCGATCAGTTTGCGATACGTTTAACTTTACATTATACAACTGATTTTATTTTTGTTCGTTCACTATAGTAATGTAGTACCAGAGTCTATATAAAGTACAATTTTGGTCTGTACTACTATCAAACAATAGTCGGAGATATAACAAATCGAATAAAAAATTGTATAAGAAATTACACTTGTAAAGATACTAAAATGTCTATCGATTAATAGTAGTTGTCCAATAAAGACAAATAGGATCAGATGGGTGAAACTGAGTCAGATTAGTGGTGACAGTTCAAACTAAAAACTGATTGGTTACTTGTTTACTTATGAATAATAATATCCATTCACAATTCAGATTGTCACTAAGATAACTTCCACAGTAAATCCACCTTGAAGCTAATCACTAACGTCTTCAAGACTTTATTATTATTATTATTATTATTATTATTATTATTATTATTATTATTATTACGAATACAGTGGTCTTGAATGCTGTTAGAGGTATGAAAGCGGTTATCACTTCCCGGTTGCCCACACCGTGGAAGGGTTCTTCTGGAGGTGCCTGAAAAGGAAACTGGATTAGAGGTGGTCTTAGTGACCCGGGAGCGTGACTGCAGTGCCCAAGGGACAACTGCTTGAGGTCGGTCACACACGACCTTTTTATTGGTAATTTTTGTGTTGTGACCTTACCGCCGGAGACGGATATCCATGGGATAAGGTGAGGTGTGCATGTTTAGGGTTGACCATTTCTAACCCCACTCCTCCCTGTGGGAAGGTAGTATCGCTGTTATACTGGTTGTCTGAAAGAAACACCTTACTGCCATCACACCTCTGTACAGTCAGCAGTTCGACTTCTCCCTCGGACCTTGGGTTTGTTGCTTTTAGTCTTACCGCTCTTCAACCGACCTGTCTGACATGGTAGGACCTTGAGGAACAGTTGTTCCAGCCAGTATAGCTTGGTTGCTTCATCACAATAGGCAAGCACGATCACCACGTCAAGGTAGCAACTGTGTTGTGTGCTACTGATGTCGACAGATATAATTAGTATGTATCGTCAATCGAAATTGAAATGCCTGGTGGCGGAAAGTTAGGAAGATCCAAGAAAAGAGAACAAGAACAGAGATTGTAGGAACGAAAGAACATTGAAATCTGAGACGACTGATTGATACTTTCCAAATGAAGTATTCACTGTATGCTTCTTAGATGATACTAAAACATTCTGTAATTGTCCTCACTTGTGTTCTCATTCACTAAACTACTACTCTAAAGTAGTCTTGATTCCAGATATATATTCATTAAATGGAGGAATTGAAAAGAAATTAAGTCTATGCATTAAACTTACATAACTAATTAGATAGATAAATGACTTAGATATGACTATTTATCATTTCGTTTTTTTTGATATAGGGAAAAGGTGTTTCAATGATTGATGCTTTTAATGCATAAAATTACTATTCCATTTTGTATTTATATAAGAATAAAGATGGAAAATTTGATTCATTTAAGATATAAACTGAAGATTGTTCTATATCGTGAATGAATGAATGTTAAATCACCATTGAAAACCTAGATAACTGTTTCGTCCCAGTATGAGACTCCTCAACAGTATACATCCATGATCCCACTTGTGACATTCGAACCTAGTGGGTGTGCAACAACCAACTGTGGGAAAGAACAAACCAGATCCCAGTGGAGGAAGAAATTAGGAAGAAGCGCTAGAAGTGGATAGGACACTCATTGAGGAAAGCACACAACTGCGTCACAAGACAAGCCCTCACATGGAATCCTCAAGGCCAAAGAAAAAGAGGAAGACCAATGAACACATTACGCCGGGAAATTGAGATAGACATGAGAAAAGTGAACAAGAATTGGATGGAATTAAGAAGGAAGGCTCAGGGCAGAGTGAGTTGGAGAATGTTGGTCGGCGGTCTATGCTCCATTAGGAGTAACTGGCGTAAGTTAATAATTAAGGGTGTGCACTACTGAGCGGTGATATACTAGGACGAAACGGCTGCCCAACGCTTTCCAGTTTTAAATAGTGTTCTAAAGTCAATTGATTCATAGTCTCAATTTAAAAAAAACCTTTTTGTTATTTCACCATTTTATTGAATTTTCATTTTTAGGGTAACATTAGAAGAATTAGAGAAATGGGCAGAATCATTTGATATATTAATGAGAAGTTCAAGTAAGAGTTTTTGATTTCCATAAATTTCTATTGTTCATCTTATTATCATGTTAGAATATTCATGCTAAGTATTAAAGTATAATTTATTGATTAAGTATGTATTGTATCGCCCCCAAATGCCCTAGTACGGCCGAGAATGGGAGAGTCATCTATCTCTCTACAAATGCTCTCAAGTGACCATGTGCATACAACCACTGACATGAAAGTCCTATTCACTACATTCTCGCACCATGAATGTTGTTTACAAAATCGAGAGGAAGAAAAGAGAATGTCCGGCACTATAACCGGGTTGGTGGATATGGAGAGTCCACCTAGGAGAGCAGGAAAACCCTCATTCCAAATCAATGGTGTACATGGGATTCAGAGAGAACAAATGTCGTATGAACCAATCGTTGGTCACTGGATATCATGGAACTTCATCTCCTGACGTGGCTCCACTGCGTTGTGGATCAGATCATAAGGTCTAAGGCTCCGAGTGTGACTCCCTAAGAACACCACTTGCTTCGTTTCGGGCACTCGGGTAATCCTCCAGCCCCCACACAAATCGAATGATTTATGTAGCGCATATCCGTTTGGTGCCTCCTTGTACTAATGTTTATGTAATTAAATAAATCAAATGTATTATATCAGCTTTCATTTGTACTTATTCGAATGTACTGTCTACTGACGATACCTAGCTCCTTAACTCTAGATAGGTGATATGAAGTTCCTATGTAAAGAGTAATTTAATGATAATTCATTTTACTCAATAATCCACATATCTTAATCATATCATATTGAAGATAATAAATATTGTTCGTATGACATTAGAATACAGTAACGATGTGAGTTTATCAAAAACCAAAGCTATTTTGAAGCAAATAATTAAAGAAACAAGGCTTTAATCATACAGTATTCACAACATTTTAATCCTGAAGTGATATACTATAGAATAGTATCTACATAATCATAACTTTTAATGGCGAGACTATAATTTATGGATGAATCAATCAGAGCTGCGATAATAGGTCTTGGATTTCGAAGTGAAATTCTTTACCTATTTGGCTAAATAACGTTTTGGCATTTTAGATAATGTCAGTTCGTGATGAAAAGCCTAAATTTAATCTTTATCCCTAACCATCCTTCACACAGGTTTCAAACCCTCATCTAACCCTAGTCAGTAGATGGACAGTCTCAAGGTCATTCATAAATTATCGTCTCACCCATTCATTAACAATATTATAGTTTCCATTGTAACCTCAAACAACATGAAGATTGACAAGGAATGAATGGGTATAGTATACTATCACTTATATCAGTTTATGCGGACAATTACTAACATGCATTTGAAAGAGATAATATCAAAAATTCTAGATTGAAGTAACTTCTAAGGAGAATCAGGAAAGTTTAAGAAGCAGTGAATTGAGTTTAATTTGCATTCAGCAGACACATCGATATAAATCAATGAGTAAAACATCAACTAATTACATGATTAGAGGTTAACTAAAACAAAAGAAAAACAGTCCATAGGAACAAATGGACACATGAAAACTATGAAACCTGAGTGAATAATTACTCAAATTCAAGGTTATTAGAATGAACTAACTTGTTACTTGTGAAATGATAAAGATCCTTGCTTCTATTCAAATTCACAGCCAATGATAACGAAAGTCACTTGGTATTGTTTGCTTGTATCTACCCATTGATGTTTAGGATTGCAATCTCTCGTGTTGGCATATGTGCATACTGTGCGTATTGCCTCGATATTGTCTTAATTCACAAGCTTTATAAGCAAAAATGGTTAGTGGCTAGTAGTGGAATTCAAGACGCATGTTTCGTCCTATTTCGGTTTCATCAGCTGAGTGTACCTGCATCCCAGAGTTGATGTTCACTCTGGGACTCAAATCTAGTACCGTTCACACTTCAAACAAAAGTTTTACAATTAGACCATCCAATTATGGAAGTTCAGAAACTAAATTAAATTAGTCATTGAAAAATTATTCACTACTAAATAAAGAGTGACTTTAGTCACTTGAGATAATTTGGTTTTGAGATTAAATAACTCGTTATCAGATTCGATTTATTTCGAAAGCTACACAAAACGACTGTGAATGTTTCAGTTCCATATATGGTCAGAAATGGCCTAATCATTTCATGCATAATTATCGGCCAATTAGATTTACGGGTTCCAAGGTCACGTTAGAACTACTCAGCTTCCACAATACATCTTTGCTCTGATTGGTTGCGAAGTATAGTAATCGTTTCATTTTTTTTTTATTTTTAAGGTGGTCAGAAAACATTTCGTGAATTTCTTCGATCTGAATACAGTGAAGAGAATATAATGTTTTGGTTAGCATGTGAAGATATTAGAAAAGAAAGTAATTTAGAGATTGTAGAAGAAAAAGCTCGTATTATTTATGAAGATTTCATTTCAATATTATCACCACGTGAAGTAAGCTATGAAAATTTAGTTTGTATTGCATTTGTTCATCAATTACTTGTTTATCAGGAAGAAGTTTTTGTGGATAGTATAGTATTTTGATAGTTGAATTCATGAGTCAATAAAAGCTAGACCATCATGGAAAACCTGGAAGAACTGGATGGCATTTTCGTCCTAGTTCGGGACTCCTCAACAGTGCGCATCCACAATCATGCCTCGCGAGGTTTCAACCCAAGACCTATCAGTCTCGTGCGCGAACGCCTAACATCTAGACCATTGAGCTGGCCGGCATCTAACGGTGTTAATGTCTAAGTTCAATCAATCCACCGAATTGAGCCACCATCTACCATTGTCTTCAGTGATTTACTATCTCACAAAAGACCTGGTTGAACTCCACTGGTCACAGCTTCTCATTAGAACTCCAGGAAATATCTAAAGTGCTTTCAGGTTTTCCATGGAGATCTAACTTCAGTTAACTCATGAACTCAACTATGAAAATTACTTCTTTGTTTGTTAACTGTAAAACTTGAAAATGAATCAAGTTCCGCCCCAAAGATACAGTTCAGAACAGCAGCAGCCCGTGAGCTATATGTAACTTGAAACATATACAATGAGTGCTATGAAAAACTGGAGATTGGTTGACCTATTACACTTCTAAAAGCACTGATTAGTTCTCTTTTAAGGAAAAATAAACAGATGAAATCAATCGAAATCTTTGATAACATCAAATTAGCATACATAATATCTTCCTTTAACTTCAATTTACTGAAATAAGCGGGAATTCATCATTTCAAAATTATCGTCGAAATTTCAAACAATAATAGAGAAACGATGAATAGTGGTTAGCAGTAGAATTCAGGATGCGCGTTTCATACTATTTGTATCTCGTCAGCTCGATGTATCTACATCACAGATTTGGTGTTCATTTTGGGCTGGGACTCGAACCCATTACCGTTTACTTCAAACTTCATCGCATGATCCACTTAGTTACTGAATGCTGATAGCCACTTACTTGTGCAATGAGGTGTAGTTTAAATTCAATTGATATTGTTTACTTGAATTTTCTCATTGGTGTTTAAGAATGAAATGGATCAGTCTCTTTGCTTATAAAGTTTGCAAGTTCGAAATGACGAACGATAATGAAGTTTTATCGTTATCCATAGACCGTAATGTTTTTTTTTCAACAAAGAATACATGATTTCTTCATTTATATAAAACAGGTTTCTTTCCACTCATTAACATTGGTAATCAGATGTTTGTAGATGTATACTCTATAAACTCATTACATTTGTAAGATAATAAGTAATTTAATAAAGATCTTATTCAGACAGGGGTTTTGTGAAGATTATATTAATTCAATAATTGAATTGGTTAAAGTTAGATATTCACACCATTGGATGCTGACCGACACAGTGGTTTAGAGGTTAAGAGTTCAAGTGCGAGACTGATAGGTCCAGGGTTGGAATCTCCCGAAATGGTATCGTGGGTTCACATTACTGAAGAGTCTTAGACTAGGATGAAACGGCCATACAGTTCTTCCAGGTTTTCCATGATGATCTAGCGTTAATTGATTCATGAATTCAATTATTACATATCTTATTATTCCCCCCCCCCAGTATATTAATGTATCTTAATTACACTGATAACAATAGATTCTAAGTTGGCAAGCTTTCAAATGTTGTGTATTCATGTAATCTTAAATGATTCAATTCTGTTTATTATTGGTTCATAATCATAATCAAAGTAATAGGAAACTTCATGAACACTCTGACATATTTAATTAATTAGTTTGTAAATTTGTTTGATGGAGTAGGTTTAGTTAGACAACCATTGAGAACTAGAAAACATTCATTAGCTGGTTTGATCTCAGTCAGTCAGTAACAACATAGAACTTCGTACGTACGTACATCAGTTCGAGTTGCCATACCATATTAGCACAGAGATGCAGTTGTCGATTCAAATCCCATATTTGTAGATGTAGTAAGAATATAAGCAGTAATCGGGAAGATTAGGGTTTGGAGATGTTGTATAAAGAGTATTATACATTCATAACCTTGCTGATGATCGAATCCATACTCTTTAGATTTTGTGATGAACGTTTAACACTTAAACTATTAATTGGTTTTTGTTTGATAGTTTACATCTATATATTCAATCAACTCTCAATATTGCTTAGCTGTTATCCAATTTGTATTGATTGAGAGCTTGTAGTGGTGTGCTTTGTTGACCAATCACCCTCATATCCTTTACCATATAATCCTCAACGGTGTTTGAAATCAGAAGGCAAAGAGAAGCAGCGACTACAGTTTTACTAGTAGATAATTCAGACCACAAAGCAGAGAGGCAACTGATTGAGTCAGAGACTCGAAAGAGTAGGTTAGTGTGTGGGGTTTAAATGTACATGTATATATATAAGGAAATGAATGGATCATCGAATCAATTAAGCAGCTAATAATAAAGCTAGCAGAATGAATATATGCGTAAGCGGTAAGCAATGTTCATGCATACATATTTCATACATGCACAACAAAAATAAAGGTACAACAAGTTGTTATAGTATAGATGACTTTGTTCGCTAAATAAGTTAACAAAAGGGCTTAATTGAGTTAAGTGAGAACAAATTCAATCGCATGTGAGTTGTTATAATCTGTCCTATTTCCCAATCATGTTTCAAGTGGTAATATCTCCTTGTTTAACACAACTTTTTTTATTCAGTAAAGTTTTGTCATATTGAATTTTGAAAAGATGTAGCTCATTATGTCATTGTAAAGGGACCATGGTAACACTATAATCTATGAACGACCTTTGAGCAATGCTAAAATGACCTTGAAACAACTAGTCTACTTAACACGATCAAAATAGGGTTGTAAATTAGTAGGAGGGGGGAAGTAAGCGAAAGATTTCCACTTGAAATTTATGGTTAGGAATTAAAGTTGAAGCTTTTTACCAAACATTGACATTAGCTATCATGCTAAAATGTTATTTAGTCATATGAATGAATGAAATTTTGCGCCAAAATCTAAGATCTGTTATCTGAAATCTGATTGGTTCATCCATAAATTATCGGTTGGAGAACCGTATAAACAAAAGTAGCAGCTAAGTATCCAAGGGCAAATTTATACCATTGACTATGATGAGATATACTGGAAGAAAGGGATTTCCTTCAAACAACCAGCATTTGGAGCTATAGTACTTACTTACTTACTTACTTACTTACGCCTGTTACTCCTCGTGAAGGAGCATAGGCCGCTCACCAGCATTCTCCATCCAACCCTGTCCTGGGCAATCCTTTCTAGCTCCGTCCAGTTGTAATTCATCGTTTTCATATCTGCTTCTATTATCCGACGCAATGTGTTCTTTGGCCTTCCTCTTTTTCGCTTCCCTTCAGGATTCCAAGTTAGGGCTTGCCTCGTGATTCAGTTTGACGATTTGCGTAATGTATGTCCTATCCATTTCCATCGTCTTTTCCTAATTTCTTCTTCAGCTGGAAGTTGGTTTGTTCTCTCCCACAGAAGGCTATTGCTGATGGTATCCGATCAATGGATGTTGAGTATCTTGCGTAGACAATTATTTATAAATACTTGTACTTTCTTGATTGTGGTTGTTGTAGTTCTTGGAGCTATAGTATTTTTCCATAATAGAAAATTGAAGAGTTATAAGAGATGAACTGTAAAAATGATTTATCTTACCATGACCTACTGATTTATCTTACCGTCTATAAGATCTTCACAGTATAGAGCTAACACATTAAGAACTACTAATGTAAAGATTGTGTGGGATTTGCTTCAAGCAACTGCTGTTTGTTCTATCAGATCATCAATATCTCTAATAATCCAATTCCCTTTAGATATACTTTGAGAAGAAGTTTCTTCCTACAATTTAGGGAACCAAATGGGGATAGCTGACTAAAACATCTCTCATAGCACATAACTTACTTACTTAGTTACTTACGCCTATTAATCTTCGTGAAGGAGCATAGGCCGCTCACCAGCATTCTCCATCCAACCTTGTCCTGAGCAATCCTTTCCAACTCATCTCAGTTGTTATTCATCCTTTTCATATCTGCTTCTATTTCTCAACGTGATGTGTTCTTTGGCCTTCCTCTTCTCCTTTTCCCTTCAGGATTCCAAATTAGGGCTTGCCTCGTGATGATTTGCGTAATGTATGTCCTATCCATTTCCATCGGATTTTCCTAGTTTCTTGTTCAGATCGAAGCTGGTTTGTTCTCTCCCACAAAAGGCTGTTGCTGATGGTATCCGATCAATGGATGTTGAGTATCTTGCGTAGACAACCATTTATAAATACTTGTACCTTCTTGATGCTGGTTGTAGTAGCTCTCCAAGTTTCCGCTCCGTTCAGTAGTACTGCCTTGACGTTCGTATTAAAGATTCTAACTTTGATATTGGTTGGCAGACAGTTGTTTTGAGTTGCATATTTTGTTCAATTGTAGTAATGTGGCCCTTGCTTTGCCAATTCTCGCCTTTATGTCTGCATCTGAACCTCCTTGTTCATCGATGATGCTTCCCAAGTATGTGAAGGATTCTACATCTTCCATAGTTTCACCATCAAGAGTTACATTAATTGAAATGAATATTTAATTTTAGGATGGTAGTTGGAGGTAGTCAACAGGAAACCCTAGACACAGGTTTTGTGCTATTTAACACTCATCAGCAAGGAAACTAGTGCTCCCTGACGGATTCGATTCCGTATCACCCAACTTCACAGTCAGAGACGCGTTACCATTGAGCTATCTGGATCGCGACCGATCTTCTGTAGGACTAAGATGTAATCACAATGGATTGATCATTGGATGATACCGATCAACTTGCAATGTAGCCACTCGTCTAGATGATTCAATATTTTATATTATTTAACATTATTAAGTTATTTTTTCTCAACATTGACTTTGTTTGTTTGTTTATTTATTTACCGATTCAAGGTTAGTTTAGATTCACGTGTACGTGAAATAATCAATTCTAATATGATAGAACCAACACCGCATATATTTGATGAAGCCCAATTACAAATTTATACCTTAATGCATAGAGATTCATATCCACGTTTTTTAAATTCTAAATTATATAAAGATATGATTGAAGAAATGAAGAATGGACAAAGTTGATTATAGATGGTCTATTTTGAATTTTTAACAAATGTAACTTGTATACATTGACATTCACACTTACACTGTCACATTCACACACACACACCTACATACATACATACAAATGAAACCAGTCAACTAATGATGAAGTAATTCTATCCATCTTAATCTCTTGCTCTCTTGCTCTCTCGCTCGCTCTTTCTTTCTTTCTTTAACCCATGATAATGTGATGATAAGTTTTCAATCAAAAATGAATGTTGTTAATTGAAAATTATCTCTTTCAGTTTTCATTCACATTCTCTATCTCCCTATCTCTTTCGCTCTCTCCCTCTCTCTCTCTCTCTCTCTCACTATCTCAGTCTCTATTTGTCGCTCCGTTGCTCTCTCTGCAGAGTTTACAATGAATTTTGTTTGATAAACTTTCTTTTTTGTAACTGGTCTGTTTTAAAGGTGAATTATTCTGGTTTTCGTCTCGTTTCTTTTCTTAATTATTCTCAATCACTACTGTTACTGTTACTACTATTACTACTACTGCTACTAGTACTAATACTACTTATATTAATATTAGTAGTATTGTGTAAACTGTATATAATTAGATGTAATCCTTTGAATCAAAATGCAAAATCATGTCCTCAGTGAATAAACTATTCTGTTAATATCATTATACTTCTATCATTAATACTACTTATAATATAAGCAAGTTGTACTTAGGAAAGCCACTACGATACCATATAGATATATATATATATATTGTAATATGATGCCCAACATTCGTAATTTGACTGACTGGTGTCCACTCATTCCAACAATTTGTTTTCTAATATTAACATTGTCCTGTTCATGAAGTTACACAAATACACACACACACACATGAGCACAAACGAACACATACACAAAACCAAATGGTAATTTCTTTTTTTTTTAATTATTTTAATTATTGATGTCGTACGATTCATTCAACACAGGCTGGTTCCTGTATCTCGTGATCTTTATTTATGTTTGATTTGATTTTATTGTCTCATTGTATGTATCTATGTATGTACGTTTGTTGTTTCTTTTTAGAGGGGGTCTGTTGTTGTTATTATTATCATTATTACGGTAGTGATTATGAGTGTTTGTCCTGTTGATTTGTCCCTCTTCAGTTGTCTTTTTGTTTTTCAATATTAGGCATACATTAACCTATTTAAATAAGATCGAATGGATTACATCATTATGTTTATTCTATTTTTATTCTTTATTCAATTATAATATACTTTTCCTTATATTAAAATTATTTATTTTTTATTGTTTAAATTTTGTTTATATTCATGATGATTTTTCAAACAAACAAACAAACAAACAAACAAAAACGATTGAACATTGAAAATTGTTCATTCTGATGAGATGAATAAGATTTATGCCAAAAGAAAAGAGAGAGAGAAAAAGGAAAAGAAAGAAAAATAAAAGAGAGAAAAAAGAAAGCAAAAAAGAAAAGAATGAGAAAAGAAAAGAAAAGAAAGAAAAAGAAAAGATAAACGATCAATGTTTGTTTAAATGAACTTTACTACTATTATTATTATTATTATTAATTTGTTGATAGAATCTATCAAAAAAAATCTATTGTATTTATGATTGTTTCATAAAATTGTAATGAATGTTTTTTTAATGTGTATTCATTGAACATTGACAATAGTTGTTTATATAAATTTAAAAAAAAGAAGATTAAATAAAGTATATTCAATGTTTCAATTAAAACAAACAAGACAATATGCCAGTTAGTTAGATATATATAATGAGTGATAGAAGTAAAAAAAAAACAAAACTCAAATGAATCCATTGTGAAAGATACTACTTATTATTATTATTCAATTCAATTCAATCATCTTTACCTCTTTCTTTTTGTTTTATTTTTTTCTTCATTTATTTTGTTTTGTCTTTTTTTCTTTCAATGTTCAATCATTGAAAAACAACAACAACAACATTTTTTACATACAATTTTCTTAATTTTACACATTTCATATATAAAAAAGAAACAATAAAAACGGAAAAAAAAGAAAAAAAGAGAAAAGAAAAAAGCAAAGAGAAAAAAACCATGATCAAAATGATAATAAACCATTAGATAAATGAATTTAGAAAATAAAATTTATATAGATACAATTTTTCATTGAACACATTTAATCACCATGTACTCTTTATTGATTTTTTGTTTTGATTTCAGGTTGATTTAAATGTTGATCTAGTGATTTCACTTGTAAAAACATCCCGAAATTTGATTGTTTTTTTCTCTCTCTCTCTTTTATTCGCCCTACCTCCCTCCCTCACTATCCCCCTTTCTCGCTCTCTCCCTCTCACTCTCTCAATGTATACATGCATACATACATACACACATACATTAATGTATTATGATTAGCATTTTTTTTTAAAAAAGAAAAATAAAAGAAAGAAAAAGTGATATGAGCATAAATGAAATGATGAAAGAGTAAAGAAAAAAAGAAATAAAGAAATAAAGAAAAGAAAAGATTGTGAATTATTTGAATAGTTCACTAATATTATTATTATTATTCCTTTTTTTCTTTATGTTTTTGTTGAAATTTCTTCAATTTTACTTTATGAAACTTTAATAGTATTTGAATAACATGAAACAAAATGAAGTTGATAGTTGTAATTTGTCTCACTTTTTATTTATTTATTGATTTATTGATTGATTGATTTATTGATTTATTGATTTCTGTTATTGTATTAATAAAATTGTAATCAGAAAACAAAAACAAACAACAATTAACTTCTGTTTTTTTTTCTATCAAGGTTAAAAAAGAAGAACTTAATGCACAAAGGAAATAGGAATAGAAACACAAATGTAATTGATAGAAATGGTCGATAAAACAAATAAATCACTGATGAGGAGTTTCACAATAGGATGAAACGTTCATCCAGTGATTCTAGGTTTTCCATGGTGACCTAGCTTTCATTGACTCATCAATTCAGCTATTAAAATCAAAATGTCCATAAAACCTTTCTCTGATTATAATTATAATTTGCTCACTAGTGACCAATTTCAAAATGTATTTCCTGGAGAGAAGCCGTGACCAGTGGAGTACAACCAGGTTTATTGTGAAATAGTAACTCATTCAAGACAGTGGTGGATTGTACCTGAATTTGGTGGACAAGTTGAAGTTAGACATTATTACTGTTAAACGCCGGACGGCTCAGTAGTCTAGAGATAAAGCGATCGCTCGCGAGACCGAAGGTCCTGGATTCAGATGTCGCGTGCGGTTTTGCGGATGCTCACTGCTGAGGAATTTCACAATGGGGTGAAACGGACGTCCAGTGTTTCTAAGTTTTTCATGATGATCTAGCTTCAATTGATTCACGAACTCAACTATTAAATTACTACAATCTCCACAAAACCCCTTTCTGAAAATGTTTTTGGTTTTAAGTTATTTTCTGGAATTTATATAAATTACTTAAAATAAAATCAGTAGCCACTATTTTATTCATATAATGTTTTGGCTTATTGTGATGTTGATTGATCGTTGACGGAGTTGATCTTAAAGCCAAATAGAATTGATCTCAAACGATAGAATCATTTACTATACAACCCAATATATATATATATATATATATATATATATATATATATGGTGAAGAATTAAATCGGTCACTACACTTAATTACCGTCTAATAACATGTGGGCTTGGACTGACAGCCGGCTTTATGTAATATATAAGAATTTAATAGTTCAATTCATGAGTTAATTAGAGCTAGACAACCATGAAAAATCTGGAAGCACTGGACTGCCGTTTCGTTCTAGTATGGGAATACTCGGCCATCCAGTACTTCCAGGTTTTCCATGGTTGTCTAGCTTTCATTGACTCATGAATTCAACAATCAAAATACTATAATATCCACATAACTCCTCTCTAATTTATACGAAGTTGTAAATAGGGATTTATGAACATTATCAGTATAGGGGTAGTGGAGATTATTGAGTTTTTGATTGAGATCATGAACTGATTGATGTAAGACCACCGTTGGAAACTTGGATGCATTGGACGACTGTTTCGTCCTATTGTTGGATCGGTTGATGTTAGACACTAACACCACCGGATACCGGAGCAGTGGTCCAGTAGGTTAAACGTTCACGTGCGAGACTGAAGACCCCGGGTTCGAATTCCGCGAGCAAGATCGTGGATACACACTGCTGAGGAGTCTTACAACAGGACGAAACAGCCGTCCAGTGCTTCCAGGTTTCCAACGGTGGTCTAACATCAATCGGTTCATTATCTCAATCAAACATGTTGGAAATAAGCGAAGCACTTTATATTAGCCATTGGTCACAATCAAGTAGATTACATAACTACATACAATAGGCAAAGATTAGTAAGAAAATAAGTGTACTAATAGGAATATAAATAATGAAATAATAGAATTTCCAATTAATAGTTTAACAGAAGAACTAGGTCAAACTTGGATAGATCGATATTAAAATAGTAATCACTAGAAATCACCAAAATTACCCAATAAGAAGTGTATAAATAATCAGATTATGAAGGATATAAACAGAAGGAATTTATTTACTAAATTATATCCAATCATTGTTATTATTAATATTTAAACATATAAACATTGGTACAAGGAGGCACCAAATAGATATGCGCCACATAAATCATTCGATTTGTGTGAGGGCTGGGATACTGCCCGAGTGCCCAAACTGAAACAGGTAGTTTTCTTAAGCGGTCACACCCCGAGCCTTGGACCTAAAGCTTTAATCCACAAGGCACTAAAGCAAAGCTAGGAGATGAAGTTCCATGGTAGCCGGTAACCAATAATTTATTCATACGTTATTTGTTTCACCAGGATACTGGAGGCCATGTACACTATTGGTATCGAATCAGGGTTTTCCAACTCGCCTATGTAGATCCTCTGTATCCACCAACCCGGTTAAAGCGCCGGATATTCGCTTTCCGTCATCTCAATTTCGTAAACAACACCCGTGGTGAGAGAAGGCAGTGAGTAAGCCTTCCCTGTCAGTGGTTGTA